AGTAGTAGTAGTAGTAGTAGTAGTAGTAGTAGTAGTAGTAGTAGTAGTAGTAGAGCAGCAGCAGTGAAGATAACTTGCTTTAGCTTAGGTTCGAATCGGGTATTTCTCGACTTCATGTGAGGCATGCTGCTCGGGCGAGTTCGGTTCAGTACTGATTCTAGTGCCTCAGTAGTAGCGGCAGCCTCGGTGAAAGCAATTTTAGGTTGAAGAATGCTGTCTTCTGGAATGCGGCGCCGTGTAGCTCTTGTATGAACCGACATTTCGGAGGAACGTATCGCCTCCATTTTCAGGGTAGCAGGTGACTGAAGACTGAGCTGAGTCTGGTTCTTCGTAAGCGGATTTTTCTATCCTGAAGGTAGAGGCGATAGGTTCCTCCGAAACGTCACCTCACACATGATCTACACGGCACCACATCCCAGAAGACAGCATTCTTCATAGTCACCGTCGTGAAGGGGCACGCGGTATCGTAGTGGTTGAGGCACTGTGCTAGAAGCCGGAAGGTCGCGGGTTCAAGTCCCGATGAGGTCATTGGGTTTTTTTCAATTGACCTAATCCTTCCAGCCGCACTATTGCCCTGGGGTCGACTCAGCCTCTAATAGAAATGAGTACCAGGAATTAATAAAATAATTTTCCTGGGGAGTAAAGCGCGGCCGGCGCGTAAGGCTGACAACCTTACCGCCATCTTTTAGCCGATTGTCTGGATAGTGTGGGACCCTCAATGTCTCTCAACCCTATGGGCCTTCACGGCCTGTTACAGGGATAGTTTTACTCTTTTTTACTTTTACTCGTCGTTACAATGCAAAATTCTATGTTACCTGTCGGCTACTGTAGGTGGTATTTTTCATCCAGGGTTCATCGTTATATTTTATCTGAATTTAAAATAGCGCGTGTATTATTATCTAAGTTTTGGGTTATATGTATTTTATATCTCGTGGTGTATGTAAATTACTTGCATGTTTTTGATACTATGTGCATATAGTGTTATTTTTAGTTTCTTTTAGTTTTTATATGTGTTTCTTCTTTCCTTCTTGAATGTGGCGTCGTGGTTGAGTTTTCTCTGAATGGAAGTGAGTGAATTATTAGTTATCATATTGGCCTGAATTTCAATTAGCTATATCTCGTCAAATGTTAAAACATTTTATCTTCATTTCTGTTTAATTATAAAATTTCTAATATGGAATATATTACTATTACTTATTTCTCTTTAGAATGTGCTGTGTATTTCTAATCGTGTGGACGTTTTGTGTGTGTGTGTTGTATCTGTTCCTAATTTGAATGTGGACTGGCTACTGTTTATGTTGTAGTGGGTATGTAGCTTATGTATGTATGTAGCAATGTTCCGGGGGAAGTGGGTGGTTGTGTGATGCTGGGGTAAGGGTGTGATGTGGGGGAGGGTCTTATAAATGTGTATTATTAGGATGAGTATATTTTATTATGAGTTCAAATATAGGGTTATGTATATCTGCGAAAGTGTCATCAGTTCGTAGCTTCTGTCTACTCAGTTCATATATGTGAAAGCGTTCAAGTGCGTTTAGTAATTAGTCCTCCTTTTTTATGTGCAGCACTTCCATTGTCTCCTCGACTGTATACGAGTATATGCATGTTCCGTGTCGAGTATGTGTAGAGCATATTTTGAAGTTGGTTGGTTTGTTTTTAATGGCCTGAATATGCTCTATATACAGAGTTTTAAATGTACGTCCTGTCCGTCCAATGTATCTTAGTGGATGTTCATTATATTTTAGTTGGTGTACTCCGCTCTGATTGCGTTTGTCTCTTATTCCTTCTCTTGATTTAGGTAGTTTGTTATTATGTAAGTGGTTTGGAAGGCTATTCCAATGTTTGTGTTCTTAAATAATTTTATAATCATTCTCGTTTCTGAACCACAATATGTGTAGGTGGACAGTGTCTTCTGTGGGTTTTTAGGAGTAAAATTTTGTTTTTGTGTTAAA